CTGTGCGACTGAACAACAAGAAAAAGGGGAGGGGGGAGATGAATTTATATGTAAATTTGGCTCAGTCAGACTTGTATTGAATAGAGACTTTGGATGGTTATCTCATTGCCAGAAGTATTCCCTTTCAGGTATTCCATCCAGATTCATCAATAGAAGAAAGGGGTCTCACCCAGCCAGGATTCCACATTCTACTTTTCCCATGACTTTTGCAACTGCTTTGCATTTACAGGGCACTTCCTGCGTCCTCTTCCCCCCTCCCCTTTCCCACCTATATATCTCTGGCCAGTTTCTTCGTACCCTCCATGCATCTGACGAAGAGAGCTGTGTTTCTCGAAAGCTTATGCTACAATGAAGTCTGTTAGTCTTAAAAGTGCTACTGGGCTTTTTACTGTTTTGTAGCAACAGACGGACGCGGCTAACTCCTCAGAATTTTTAAAAAAACCTCAATGACAGGGCCTTCTCAGTGTTGGCACCCGTCTCTCTGGAGTCCCCTTTCTACAGCTGTGCTCCTGAGCCCCAGAACAGTTGGTTTTCGACTAGGTTTGTGAGCTGCTTTTCACAGCAGCGCACACAGCAGAGAAAAATCTGCAACACAGGCATGCTGGAACCTCAGTCGCTTTAAGAGGCGTTCAAGTGTTCTGCTGAGTGATAGGAGGGTGCACAGTCAGCCAACAGCCAGGATTAAAATAGCCACGGGGAACCGAGAGTGTTGCACCTTGGCAGAATGGGGACAGGCAGCAGAGGGCTTTCGAGGACAAAGCCGGCACCTGAACGAATAGCCTTTTAAAATAATAAATCCCCAAGTTTTTATGGCTGGCTGCTGGTTGACCGTATTCTCTTCCCCGGGTTGTTTTTCCGCTTGCTTTGTCTCCCTGGTTGACTTCAGTCGCCCCGCCGCACCTTGCTCAGTGGCTTGCTGCTTTTACCGCTACGATTTTCATTGTGTGGGTTCCCCACGTTTTATGCTGCCCGTTTTGATCGTTACCGGTTTCCCTTGCTTTAAACTGCTGTAACTTTTTAAAGGAGCTGCGGTGGCTCAAGTGGTTAAGACGCTGAACTGCGGGCTGTGGAAGGCCAGATCGGTCGTTCAGCAGTTCGAGAGCCGAGTGTGCCGCATGACGGAGTGAGCTCCCGTCTCTAGTTCCAGCTCCTGCCAACCTAGCAGTTCGAAAGCAAGACATTGCAAGTAGATAAATAGGTACCGCTTCGGTGGGAAGGGAACAGCATTCCGTGCGCCTCGGTGTTTAGTCATGCCAGCCACATGACCACAGAAACGTCTTCGGACAGCGCTGGCTCTTCGGCTTGGAAATGGAGATGAGCATCGCAACCCTAGAGTCGGATTCGACTGGCTTTTGAGCAAGGGAAACCCTTTACCTTTACTTTAACTTTTTAAAAATGATGTTGACGGGCTCGGGGAGCTTTTGATTGGGCGTTCCGGCCCTCAGACAAGCGTGGGGGACGGGACGCAGAGGCTTTGGGTGCTGGGGGGTGGTCTGCCTTCCCAGCTTTTGAGCACCGTGCTGTTTCTGGTCCTGCAGGAAGCTGCGCTGCACCCGGAACCACATCCACGCGAATCTCTTCGCCTCCTTCGGGCTCCGGGCCGTTTCGGTGATCGTGAAGGATTCCTTGCTGGAGAAGATGTGGGGGAAGGAGGTCTTTCAGATGTCGGACTGGGAGGCCTTGCTGAGTCACGAAGTGAGTTGTCTGTGTCATAGAATCCTAGAATCTCACAGAGTCGGAAGGGGCCAATACGGGCCATCTAGTCCACCCCCTTACTCAGTGCAGGATCAGCCTAGAGCAGTCATGGCGGACCTTTTAGAGACCCAGTGCCCAAACTGCGACCCAAAACCCACTTATTTATCGCAAAGTGCCAACACGGCAATTGAACCTGAATACTGAGGTTTTACTTTAGAAAAAACAACTCACACATTAACTTAGGATGATCCAAACAAAGTAAGGAAAGCAATCCTAAAGGCTTTCATTTACTTAAAATTATTTGGCAGAGAATTCCACACTTTAATGGTGGTCTGGGCCTGGCTGGGGCGATGGC